GTTTCTCTAGTATCAAGCAACCAGGTCTGACTAGAGACCAGAAAATTCGCTTGAATTTCTACCGAAATCCAGAAAGGTTGCCCTTCGACGGACGATGCAGGGAACTTTTTCAAGTTCCGTTACCACAAAGTGATTTTCGAGTGTCAGACTGATTATCTGAATATACGAAATTTTCATAGAAATAGTGGGCACGACATCCTTCTCGTCCCTACACATTCCCTCATACTTGAGTATGTAGTGAAAGAAATACATAACCGTGGTACACCGTGGTTTTTAAAAGAGGCGGTACGACGCGGTTTTCAATACCAGTGGTAAGACTTGTTCCTAAAAACTAAATTAACGGTCTGACTCCAAAGGCTTTTTCTAGACGGAATACGATGTGATCGTTTCCTGGACCACGGTACCTCACGGTTTTTGAAACTGTGACTGACCGCGATATGAAATACCGTGGTCTAGCACTATGACGGCACGGCTTACTTTGAAAGTGGGGAGAAAAACCGCGGATTACCGCGACTTTTTCAGTGATATCGCGGTGTCCTGGCAGAAAACCGTGGTCAACCGCAGTTTTACTGGAAAAACTTTTTCGTGGATAGTGGTTAGATTAACACATAACTTGCCGAAATTTTTTGAAAGTCGATTGTTCTTAGAACTTTTCAGCCTTCGATAAGTACTTAGAGCAATCCAAAAGTAGTGGCAGAGTTATTTTAATTTCGTATAAAAAGTGTAAAGAAATTCTCTCACAACATAATCTGATAGTAAAAACAATGCTCTAGTTTTCAATACTATCTGATCATTCTTCAACTAATATAATAATACTAAAATATCAACAGAACCCGTTTAATTATGACGTATGACGGCTAAAGTAGTTCATATTGTCTTCAATATTTATTTTGTTCTTTATTTTCTCTTTGTTCTTCTTCTCTCTTGTTCTTATTCTTTTTTCTCATCCCTTTTAATTTCTAACATTCAACGCATACATACAGAATGTCTCAAAAGTTCATGCGGAAAGTAAATTCGTATAACTGTACTATTTATCAAACCTAGCCAATTAGTTTTGTTTTACATAATAGGTTTCACAGTGGTGAGATTTTTACTGATATGCGCAAGTTTCACAAATACTGTTCAAGGTGCTCTCGACTGAAATACAAAAAGCAGATGTTTTTCAATTTTCAAAAAGTCACTGCATCATGTTTCTTTTAATACTCCATTTTTTTGCATCTTTCATTGCGTTTAAATTGATCAGATCTTGCACTCTCGTTTCTATGCATTCATTTTGATATGTCAGTACAAAAAGAAGCCTAATGGTGTGAAGTGCGGCGATGACGAAGTTCATAAGATCAGTTCATTTCTTTCAGTTCACCAGTCATCGCCTGGAAACATCAACGGATTTCACGAGGTTTGTGATCACCGATCTTTACACCATTAGGCTTCTTTTTATGATAACATTCCAAAACAAATGCATAGAAACGCTAGCACAAGATCTGGTCGATCTGAACGCCATCAAAAACGCAAGAAACTGATGCATCAAAGGAGAAACACTGCGTAGCGAGTTTTTGAAAATATAAAAAAGGCTGTTTTTTTGTATCTCAGTCAAGAATTGTTAACTTTGAATAGTATTTGTGAAGATTTTCCGTATCAAAAAAACAAAATTCCCATTGATACCTATGATTTGAAAAGAAATTAGTTGATTCACTTCGATAATTAGTGGAGTTATACGAATTTACTCTTCGCACAGATTTTTGGGATACCATGCATATATAAAGACGATGATTGATTGTGTTGTTTGTATCTGTAGTGTCGTTAACATGCTCCCAAGAAAGTTAAAGAAATAAAGGTAGAGAGAATCTTGATGTTATTCGTCTCTATTCTTGATCCCAATCAAACACAGAAGCTTGACAAATGCGCGTATTTCCAAGAAACTTTTAGAAACATGCGTTCACTTGTAAAACATTTTCAAGTCACTATATCTTGTACATGAAGATGCAAGCTGTTTCAAATATTTGCTACTGTTGCACATAATTGCAAGACAATAGCACATGCATAGACGTGCATGTCACAAATACATGAATGAAAATGCGTAAGAAAAGTTAGCAGCGGACTCGAGCTTTTCCTGCTGATATTCCTTTCGAGACTTGGATTAGATATAGAATTAAATTCTGTATAGAATGGTACTATTTTCACGTGGAATTATCGGACACAAATGGGCGTTTCATCCCAAATACTGAGTTCGGAAGCCACCTTCAGGCTGTTTTTCTTGCTTACATTCACTCCTACACTTTGGTTGAGTTTGTACTTGCTTGGATTAGGTGGAGAGTTAAGTTCTGCATTGAATGGTAGTATTTTGAATGAATGTCATAGGATGACAGTTGGGAGTTTCGTCCGAGATACTGAGTCCTGGAGTACTCTTTGATTACGTTTCCTTGCTGATATTCGCTCCTGCATCGGGATGGGTGTAGAAGCGTTTTAATGCACTTGAAAAGCATGTAGATGATCTTGTTTCTGTATTGAATTAAATTTTACGGAAAATAATTCCGAAAACTCCGATGAGATTCTTCTTCCTATTTGAAAGCTCATTTTCTTGAAGAAAGACAATAGCGGCAATATTGAATAGTTCGCTATCCATTAAACATCAAAAGTTATGATAGTTCTTTTTACGATCATATTCTGGTCAGACAAATCCCTGGAAAAACGTGTTTTCACTCGTTGAAAGGGATGCTTTTTACATTTTCCAAATGAAAAACTTCTTTGGAAAAAGGAATTGACTTCGAAGAAAACGATGCTCGCAACATTGGTTTTTGTGAAAATAAAGATCGTTCTTTTTACTGTGTTTCAAGCGTGAAAAATGTACATTATTAAATGGAATAGCGTGTTTAAATAAGCTCTAGGCTATCTGGGCTGCTTTTTCCTCATATATTAGAACGACTTTTTGTATATAATCGGCGAGGCAGAATTTTAGACATCATGAGCGTTCGTTCTCAACCAATCCATAGGTACCGACTATGTTCTATTAAGAAACGTCAACATTCACTATTAAAATGATGCCACTGATCACAAAGCAGTCGACCACACGATGACATTTAATGAATGCCACAGAAAGAGAATAAAAAAACAAAATGCTTAGAGTAACTATCAAGTAATTAGGATGAGAGTAACGGCAGGTTCATTGCTAACGAAGTAATCATACTGTCTATTGTCGATGTTAGTATGTTTTCATGAGTTTTCAAAGACAGTTATTGCAACTTAACTTAGTTAAATCATACATTGCAGCTACTATCAGAGCACAATCTGTTAAAGAAAAACTATTCCAAACTATTTCAGCGAATAGACAACATTAACAGTCACCACATAAACAATCAAAATATCAAGAGAATGATAGCTAAACCCAGTACAGGGGGTCAATCTCCCATTTTTTTATGCGATGATCACACTTGAAAATAGTACCATTCAATGGAGAATTTAATTCTGTTTCTAACCCATGCAAGAATTGACTCAACACAAATCAAGAAGCGAATATCAGCAGAACAAACTCGAATCCGCTGCTAACTTTCCTTTCTTCGCGAAAATACAATTTTATAAGTTTTTAAGCAAAACATGCAGAATCATTTATGCAACACTCTTGCATGTCTATGTAAGATATATATGAGTCGCATGTAAAAACCAAAGTGTTATTGACGTGTACCCGCAAGATGACTAGAATTTTGATAAAGTTTGCATGTCAATGGAAAAAGGTTGTAGTTATAAAAATGATTACCGAAGTGATTTTGCGTCGACATGTGAACTTCTACTATTTTATAATATGCATGCTGCTCCACGCAAGAATATAATTTTTTTCTTCGAGTCATATTTATTTATTTCTGTTTAAAATAAAACCTACTCTCATATAGCCATATTATATTGGCTGAAACGCCTTGTTCAATTTTTCAAATTCGTCTATAGTTATTAGTATGCATGTTCACATATGCCGAGTAGTTATCACGTAATTATCATATTCTTTAGTTTCGATTGTACTTTTAATAGAAGTAGACGATCGGACGGTGAAGAAATTTCTTTTATACAGTAAAGTATGTATGCTCGAATCTTATCTCTGAAAACAGTGCGTGTTCATGCATGTTTACTGCATGTGCTTCATTTTTTTGACATTTTAAAATTGTCTTCTATGCATATACGCGCATTCTCCGCATAAGCATTACTATGTCTAGGTGTGCTGCAGTGCCAGTAACTGGGTCCCAATCGGACTGGGTACTTAGTCATTTGATGTTTATTCTGCTAATCGAACAGTACTTCCCTCTTTTCTAATATATTGCAATGCATTGATTCTCAGGCTGATAAAATACTGATTCAAGCAATAATATTGAATTGATTGAGTATTCTTATATTTCTATGTACCAATCGTTATAACGTAGAATATTATTAATATATTCCAGCAGTATTAGTAATTTATATTAAACAACATAGGAAGAAGTTCTTCTATTTTGCAAAATTAAATATATATATAAATATATGATATATTTGTCACTAAGTCGACAGACGTTTCTCTCTCTCTCTTGACGTCCAGTCATGCATTCAAATAACATAAAATTCTGTTTGAAAATTATTCAACCGTTTTGAAGGTGCCAAATAATTAAACTTTCATTGTATGTGTTGTAAATTATAAGACAATATTAAACAGGCTTGCTATTCATAGATATATTCATACGAAGGGAATATTTTATAACACAGTAAAATGAAGAAAGTGGTAACTAATGTTTTTGATGGATGATAATTATTTTTGTAACTCAGCTTCTAAGTTTCTTTTTTTGTGAAACTTGTACTTAGATTTGACCAAAAGTCCCCAGATTGCTATTGGCAATTTTATAAACCAATTAATAACGAAGAGTGTTGTGCATGGATAAATAGTGGAATGTCTTATCTATAATAGTATATATAGTAAATCTCTTTTGGACTTATTTATAGTATTTTTTCCGATAAACTTTAATTCGAACTAAAAAAAATTTTCAAAAATGGATAATGAATACAATCGATATTATATAAAAGTTTTATATAAAAATTCGAACTATTTTGGGGATAAATCCAAAGACGATTCACGAAGAACTTGCAACAACTTTGGAATCCAAGGCTCCATCATATTCAACAGTTGCAGAATGGGCAAAGCGTTTCCGTGAAGGAAGAGAAGATGTCAATGATGTTTCTCGATCTGGTCGTCCAGTATCCGAGCTGACAGATGAAAATATTGAACTAGTGCGAGAGGTTATCAACAGTGATCCACATTCAACTTATGATGATATTATAGCTGAGACATTTCTCTCTCATGGTACAATAGAACGAATTATCCACGATTGTCTTAAGATGAAAAAAATTACATCACGTTGGGTACCCCATCAACTGACTGATGAACAAAAGCAAGAACGTGTTAAACTTTGTGGTGAAAATTTGGCGAAATTCCGTGATGGTTCTTGGCGATTATGTGATATTATAACAGGTGATGAGACGTGGATTTGCCATAGGCAGATTCATCGCAAGTCAACAAATGCAAGTTGGGTTGGCGAAGATGAATCACCAACTACTATTGTTCGCCGAGGTAAATTTGAACCAAAAATTTATTTTCTATTTTCTTTAAATCAAATGGTCCTGTTCTTATACATGCTGTTGACGAAGGCAAGACTATAGATCACAACTATTATATTGAAAATTGCCTCAAACCTGTCGTGAAGGAAATATGGAAACAAAGAAAATCAGCAGGTACAAAAGGTATAAAATTGCTCCAAGACAATGCACGACCCTATATTCATTCCGATGTTATTAATTATTTAACAGAAGAAGGTATTATTATAATGTCGCATCCACCATATTCACCTGACCTTGTACCATGTGATTATTGGCTAAATGATTACATCAAACGTAATTTAACTGATCAACCAGATGGAAAATCATTGGCTCGTGCGGTATCCAAGGTGATGAAAAAAATTCCGAAAGAAGAATTTAAAAAAGCTTTTGACAAGCTATTAGAAAGGATGGAACTTTGTATAAATAATCATGGTGACTATTTTGAACATTTAATAAAATAAAACTCGAACTTTCTCTTTGTCTTTATATTTTTTTTAATAATCTGGGAACTTTTGGTCAGACCTAAGTATATTCTTTGAAGAATATGAGGAGCGTAAGTTTTGAGGCGAAGTTTTCGCAGTGCCTCTCCGACACCGTTACAGCCCATCGCAACTAAATATCCATCATTATAGAAACTTTCCATTACAGACATTTTAACTTAGATCATACCCACGCAGACAGATAAACACCAAAACGCCGTTTTGACGCGTTGAAGGTTAGAATAGAAGAAAACAACGTTTTATAACGCGTTGACTGAATACATGAAAGAAATAACCGTGTTTCAACGCGTTTAACTTTTTGTTGACGCATTTTAACGGATTGGAAGACCATGTTGGAGCACGTAACGCGTCTTAACGGGTTGAAAGATCATGAGAGGGTAAGTAATGCGTTTTAACTTGAATAAAACGAAAGCTTTTCACGAAGTTATCTATTTCTCCTATCCTGTTGGTAATAGCGCTAACCAGTCGCATCGAACTTCTTTGTTTCTTTGTTTCGTTGTTACTACAAGACAAAGAGCAGCACTCATAACTATTCAGTAATTCCTATTGTTCCTTATTCAATCGATACATATCATTCTATTTATTCCCAAGCATATAAGTTTATAAAAAAGAGTCTTAATTAAATATTCTATAATACATGTAGGGATCCGTTTTTTTTATTTCCTCGATTCTCTGATTAAATTTATTTTTCCTACGCTAATTTTCTCAAGAATAACTCAGTCAGGTAAGTCCAAAAATCTCTTTTTCAAAATCAAAAATACTATTTTGATCACAAAAATCACAGAAGTTCACATTTTCCTTCACTCTTTCTCAGTTAGATCCCTATTCTTGTCGAAATAATTATATATCATTTTAAAAATAAAAGTATCCACCGACTAAAATTTAATTCAAATTATTCGAGGAAAAAAAAATAATATTCATAACAAATTTTAAAATGAATCTGTCAAATCTACATCAAAAAGCTCGCTACTACAAAAATAATAAACATAAGAATGATTCAGGATATGGATAAAAATATTAAAAAATTGTTCAGTCGTCTCGTTATTAACTTCCCCTTTGATAGAAATATTTTGATCTCTTAGTGATTTTTGCCATCGAAATGATATATATATATATACGTTGTGGTCAAAATTAAAATTTTAAATTTTGCCCAGGCAAAATTGAAATTTTGATTCTGTCCAACATAATATCAGTCAGAACTAAAATTTTAATTTTGACTGGATGAAATTAAAATTTTTTTGATGAAAAGAAAAAGGTAAAGAAAAACCAAAAGCCAAAGTAGCGACAACTTTTTGATTTCAAAAAAATTATTAACAAATATTATATGAGTGTGGGTGCAATAGGGGCCTTGTAGGAGTGTCAATTTATATTTACTTTCAATTTAATTACTGCGTAACTTAAATTATCGGTAATTTAAATTTAAAATAAATTTAGGCTATTATTCTCATAATTTGCATTTAAAGTAAATTTAATTTTTTTTTCATAATTTAAAAGTTAAAAATAAATTTAAATTCTCTAAAGCAAAATTTATTTTTAATATAAATTCTGATAATTTAAATTATGAATAAAATTTAATCTGTTTTAAACTTGATTACCGATGATTTAAATTTATATAAATTAATAGCAAGATGGTAACCCTAGAGCCTTGCTCCTTTCACAGCTACCTACACTTACACCCTTCAAAACCAAGCATCCTCACCTACATCCATACATTTTGGTGTCGAAATTTTACTTTATTCTTTTCATTAAAAAAAGAATTTTAATTTTGTCAAGTCAAAATTAAAATTTGGCTTTTGGCTGACATTATGTTGGGCAAAATTAAAATTTTAATTTTGACAACAACATATACTTTCTAAATATGAAAAGGCATTACCAAATATATTTAGAGTAGCAAAAAAAGAAACTTCTATATTAGGTACTTGATTCATTGTACTATATATTTAGGTGAATAGTGCTTATAGGGAAAAATAGTGTGTGACGTGCGCTTCATTTTTTCTACTTCATTATTTAGTTTCGAAAAACTTTTTAAATAGATCCAATAAATAAGAACTGTGGCTAAGACTAGGGAAGAATAGATATAACTCACATACCTTCATATTATAGACAATATTAAATTTCAGTGTTTACTAGTAAATAAGACATACCAAGTAGCATCGATTCGAAGAAAGTCAGGAGTTAAAGAGCATACAACAGTAGTGTAGTTTCATTTCTTTTCAGAGATTAGATTCATGGCCATGTAATTGTAAATAATCGAGCAATAGTCTTCTAGCGAAATTTAACATTTTACTTTATCTTCCAAATAGTGAAAAAATCTTCTAGTGAATAAGCAAGATCCGACAATTTAAATTTAGAATGCGTGACATCCTTAACACTTGAGTGAGCTTTTCTTGACTCTATGGTCTTTTCAAATTCTTTCTGAATTCCAAATAAAAAAAGACGCAACCTTTTCCGCGAACTCATGGGTATAGTGGGTCTAGAAAAAAGCAAGTCGACTAACCCTAGCAGTCACAATCATCAACTTCTCTTATGTCAACAACAATAGCTTAATCCGAAGCGAAAATCTCGAAAAATATACACAACCCCGCAACACCGACAAAAGGAACTGGAAAACGAATAAAACTTCAGCAGACACTCAGTCTAGCCATCACCCTCATGCTACATCCTCAACAACTTTTTCTATAGGCTGCTAATTGCAGGGCTATAGAGGATCTTTATAATTATTTATTATTATATATACATCAACCTCTCTTATTATAGGGGTGAGTCTTGGTGGATCTAGTGGGTCTAAGGATATATCACATACCTTTTTTTACATAGGGTGGGTCTTCGTGGACCTAAGGATATAAAATATACCCTTTTTTAAATAGGGTGGATCTTGGTTAGAGTCCTTCACTGGAGTCAAAAAAAATTTCCGGACCCGGTCAAAGAAATACGAGCCGCTCTGTCATTTTTCATGTTAATACAGTAGTCAACCATTCATCTTGTTCAGAAACATTTTCCATTTCACCTCATGCATTTAGAAAAGCACTCCAATGCATTATAACTAAAATAATTTAATGAAAGTAGCCCGAGTGCACATTCGGACCCGGACAATATGGAGCCGAACTTTTTTTATTAAGTTATTTAGGCTATAATTCATTGCCGTGCTTTTGTTAATACATGAGGTGACATAGAAAATATTTCTCTACAAGATGATCGGTTGAGTAATGTATTAGCATGAAAAATCACAGAACGGATCGTATTTCTTTTAACGGATCCGGAAATTTTTTCTGGACCCAATGAAGGTCTCTAACCAAGACCAACCCTATTTAAAAAATGGTATATGATATATCCTTAGACCCACACTATTTAGAAAATGGTATATGATACGTACTTAGACCCACTAGACCCCCATTTCAGATAAAAAGGAAGTGTTTTTTTTTTAAATTCAGAAAGAATTAAAAGAGACCATTGTATGTATGATTTTCATATTTTTCATTTTTTTAGTCCTTGTAGCTCCTTTAAGCTCTTCAGTATTTTTAGTTCATTTAGTCCTGTTAGCCCCTACAATCACTTTAATCTTTTTCGATGTACAGATGAGCGTGTTTTCTTCACTCACATTCGCACCCAAACGTCTAAAAGGACTAAAACGACCAAAATATTCGTACAGATTAAAAAGGTGTATAAGCATAAAAGTAAAACAGGATCAATTTGAATGTTCGTGGACCTATGAATTATTAGCAATTGTCTTACAGGTAGAAAAGTACGTTGGCTTGATCCCGGATTCGGGTTCGAAAATTTTGAACTCAACGAGCTCTACGTACAGGTAACTATTAGAAGTACTTATACGTGCATGACCGATGGCTAAGATAAACTAAATACAAGACCAGTTTGGTCTTGTCTGAACTACTTGGAAAAGTTTTTCATACTGAATTAAGTGGCGTGATTGTTCGACAAGTTAATTCATATTCAATTCAGTTTTGAGAAACACATTCAATACGTCAATCGAAAACGAATTTGATCCATTAACTAAAATAGTGAATATGTCTCGATGAAGTCACGTTATAAACATTAATAGAGACATATACTTGAGGTATTATAGTATGCATTACATTAAAACAAGGGTCAAAAGATAAAAATAATGATGGAATAATTTTCAAGAGATTTTTTGATGACGCATATAACTTATACAATAGATTTCTTAGTAATCAATTTCGAAATTGATTTTAGTAGGAAATTCTAAGTTCTGGTTGATAGATTAAAATAATCGATATAGACTCATGTCGATTTAATTCAAAGTTAATGCAGCGTTTCCTTTCTAGTCAACAAAATGCTTTTATTCACTGTCATTACTGTACATACAACCCAAAAACTTCACACTGACAATGCCGACAATGGATAAAGTGAATTAATATGCTGGTTATCTCAACTCAGCGTAAAATAAGTAAAAAATTATGTTAGTTTCTCTTTATTATATTTGTATCATTGAAAAATCATCTTATATTCAAGAGATGTTATTTAATTTTATTCGTTTGATTAACCAAGTAAAAACAGTCAATAAGCTGTAAGGTATTTTTTTATTATAATACCTTTCTATTCATTAGTATTTATCTAACTGGTTTAAAATGCTTTCGTATAATCGAAATTGTTTGCAAATCAACAAGACATTAACTATCATCCTAATTGTATATAAATATTTATCAAGTATTTCGGAGAATATTTGAAATTATACTTGAATAAAACGTAAGAAATGAATAGTTTAGAAGTTTTATTTACGTTATGCGACATATTTCAACTTTAAATGCATCGTTCCAATTTGTACGTTCGAAAATACTGTAGAAGATTCGGTTCTTCTTCTTTCAATAACTAAAATTGATGACGACGAAGAAATACAAGTACAAGAAATACCATTAATAACATATATAGAATAATATTATTCAACTTTATCGTAATATGAATTCAAATAACATTGAGTTATGAGATGACCTATAAGACTATGACTTAAAAGTTTGAACTTTAAGTGTACGACGAAAATTAATTGAATTATGCTAACAACTTGTTGAAACAGCTGCCATAAGGTTTCAGAATACACAACCAATTTTTATAGTAATGAAAAATTATGTAGATGATTCACATATACAGAATTGAGTATTATCAGCGTGTGAACAAGTAATAATTGATTATGGTCAAGTTGAATGGCATGAACTTATCAACCAGACAATATCAACTTCACAATATATACATTTAGACTAAAATCTGATACCAAATAAAATTCAAAATGGAAACGAAACTCTCTACGTGAAATAAATGATAAAGTTATATTAGAGATTTGAACACAGAATGAAAAAGTAGTTATATAAAAGACGATGAAAACTTTTTATTTGATCGCAAAATCAGTCAATGAAATCAGGGATTTCCTTTATTTTTATTCATTAATGGTATCGAAAATTAGAGCTAAAGCAACATGTTAATCATTAATATTTATTATCAAAAACATAGATTCATAACAATCGTATATTAGATCTTGATTATCTAGATAACAAAGTGATGCTTCATTGAAATACACCCCCCCCCCCCTTCCATCTCCATTACATGCAGCTGATTTATTCTTTAAACATTCATTGGATAATTACACTATTGACAAGAAAGATAAACACTGACTGTCTGAAAGAAAAGAGAATAATATCAAGCATGGATATTTATTTCACTAGGCTCAGTTGTCTTGAATCGTTTGAGAAAAGAACAAATAACAAATATACTAGAGTTCATAAATGACTAACAGAACTGATCTTTAGTAACTTCATCTCGGTTCTTTTTAAGCATATGTACGTTTATAAACAAAGAAATCGTTTTTCTTTGCTTAATAAGACAAAGAAATTTTCATTTTTATGGGAAATGGTTCATCATTGAGTATTAATTGAGCATTGCCGTTCCTTGAAAATCATATTTCGCCGTTTCGTCTATCTCATTAGTTTATTTGATGTTCATGAATAAATTAATGATTGATTATCCTTGTCAACATTGTATATTTTCTTCCTCAACACTATCATATCACTTTTTTGTTCCAATGATCGGTAACCTTTCTTTATGATTCGGATTTTATTATTAAAGTCTTGATTCGAAAACTGACGATAGGTCAAAATATAGTTTAAACAAGAAACGATACTACTATGACTTCTGACGACTGGTTTATCTTTCAGAATGAATACAAAAAATGAAATAATCCGAATCAGCATCAGACTTAAAGTGTTGACAACATGCAGGATGTTTTACACTATGTTTTTATAACTCGCAGTACATATAAGTGTTTTTTTATGTTTCAATAATGAATGGATTGAGTAAAATAAGAACTTTGATATTTGTTGTTGAAGAATTTCAAGATTAATATCTATTTGTTTACGGAGTATTAATCAATCATTATATACAATTTTCAAATAATTAAAAACATTTTATGGCTTTCATTTAATAAAAGTTTATAAATCAATTAATGTCAAATGTATATATACAATACGTTTAACAAAAATCACAAGCCGTCAATTTTTTTTCTTTTATCATTTCTCTATCAAAAAAAAATGTTCATTGGTATAAAACTTAAGTTTCGATAATGCTCAATTCCATTATAAAAGAATTATATTTCAGTTCAATCAACGTTTTTTTAGTAAGGACAATCATATAAGGAATAGTTTTTATTTAATTTACTATTTAAGAGTTGGCAAACGAAATAATAAACTTATACTTTCTATTATTTGAAGTATTTATAATTTATATATTTTTGCATTGATATTCTACGTGAATCATAGGAATAAAAAGAACTAGATTTTATAATGATGAAATCGATGATTGAGATAATAATTTGTCACGCGAACTATTAAACGTTTTCAGTATGGATGAGTGTCAATATGTGATGGGCTCTTCACTCCATCATCCAGCATTAAGTGTGAAAAGAGCGAATATAAGGTAAACATATGAGTGTGTCAGAAGCTCAACACACGATTAAACCATGTGTGAAGATCATTGGAAAAAAATCTATAAAAAAATAAATAAACGAATATTGTCATAATTTTATCTATCTTATCACTTATGCCTGTTTTTCTCTCTACATAATTATTCGACAAACGTTTTATTATTAAAACGATAGTAATGTTCTTGGGAGAAAGAAAATAAAGATCATCAAGAATTTATTAAGCACAGCATGATATATATATATATGTATATATGAATGTATGATTGGAAAACACCGCAAGGGGCCGTTCGTCATGGATTGAGTCTAGACATTGACACATGCATCTTGTCCCTCTTGAGAATAAGAGAAAACAAAATTGTCCAGTATCATACGTTCTATGATTTGATTGAGATAAGCAACGCATCTGTTGTTTTTACATTCGAAACAGAGATAATAAAAAATAATTTTCTATCTTTGATCTCATCTTCACATTGCCATTTTTCGTTTTCATCGAACATGATTAATTTTTTACAATCATATTGTTGTGTTTTGTTTTTTTCATTGAGTATTTCTAATTGATTCAAATTAGACCGTATCCAATTATAATATGTTACAGCTTTTTATCAGTTTCACTTGTTAATATACTCAATATACAAGTAAAACAGATGAACCAATTGAGTTAACAATCAGGTGAAATATTTTCTAGAAATGCAAAAAAAAGAAATCAAACAAATTGATTTCATACTTTTCTCAAGCTTCTCGCATTTTCTTGTAGTATATTCAAATGATTGATAAAAAAAAAGAGATAGTCTGGTGCAGATGAAGTTTAAAAAAAGAACTAGCAAAATGAACAATTAATGCATAGTTCTTGAAATAACAATTTGAACACCAACTGCTTCTAATTGAGTGAAAAACAATTCTTTCGTGCACACCCATGATGCAATCATCATTTCTTATTCTCTTCAATGTTTGTTCGTCATTCACCATCTGTTTTCGATTGCCCATTGGTCATTTCATCCATTTAGCAAACGAACAAGAAAAGAAGAAGAGAGAGAGAGAAAAAACATCCTTCTTCCTTCATTATGTGCATATCCATACATGCACTATACTAAATACATATCCGATACTGGTATTAATAATGAACATCAACGTCATAATCATCATCAGTAAGGTATGTTAGTTCTATTCACCTTGTCCAAATACAATCACAGTTAGAAAGATAAATAGATATACTTGAACTGTTTGAATGGTCTAAAGAAGACTTACATATATAGTATATATATATATTCGTCTGCTAGTAGTTCTATATACGATTCGACTCATTATTGTATATTTGAAACAACGAATAAGAAGGTGTAGATTTATGCGACCTTTCATTTGATTTATACAAACATGAGCGGTACCATTGATTTTAAATAGTACTAGATAATGTGAACACGTTAAGAACTGAGAATTAATTCATATAGACACATTTTTAATGTATTTGAGAAAAAAAATTTTGAGCTTTAGCAAAATTTTCATTTGATTTTTTTTGGTAAATAAAATGTTGAGATTAACATAAGTTAAGTGTTCTATTTGTAAGATTTCATCACTATATACTCTTATCATCTTTTGAACAGTCACGAAAGTGTTTTTATGTCGGCTCAAATCGTTTTACTCTCTTGAGTTTCCATGAGAGAGAGAGCACGAAACCTTAAATAGACACATCAAGATTATAATTGATAGGTTTCTATTAGAAAAAGATGTTCTGATTTTTATCGATTTTTTTTCTTTTCATTTTCAATTTTCTTTCTTTGACATTAGTTTAACTTTTATTGTTATATTTGCTCCTCCCATGTAAGATCGCTTTTCACTAATTACAGCCTTGAGGTTCATGTCATGACGATGCTGATGCCAAGATGGCAATCATGATAAAATGAACAGACAGTTATTGTTTTTTTTCCTATGCTCATTGACCGGATGTCCTTGAGAATAATTTCCTCCGGTCATTAGCCTTGATAGTCTTTCTTTGTCTTTATGAAAGATGATAAGTTTTTGAATAAGGGTCCGACTGTAGAACGAGAAGATGAGGTGTAAATATTGTTTTAACACAAAACAGACGCATTCAATGTACATCTTCATCATAGAAAAGAAAAGGGCAAATGCACCATCAAATTGTATATGCATATGTCTTTGTACGATAAGTGAAAGAAACAAATGGGAGCGGCCAATTTCGTTTTTTTTTTTCGAAAGAGAGAAACAAAAAAGAAAGAATCTAACCACATCTTGTTTTTGTTATGATTTGAACACACGCGCGGAAATCAACAAGCCTCAAGCTATCTTTTTATATACGCACATAGAAAATGACCCATGGATCGAAAAGTCAGTTCATTTCGATATAAAGGTGTTGTTATTATTAGAAAGCGGGAGAGACTAAGTAGACGATTGATCAAGACATAAAAAAAGAAAAGAAACCGAGAACTAATGGCCTATAAAAAAGCTTCTATCTGATCCATCTGTAACTTGAAATATTCATTTGAATATATTGACAAATGTATACCTTGATTTGTTTCTTTTTTTCAGATGTTTATATTACTTATTTGTCTCCCATTCGTTGCTACATTTGATTATTCAATAAAAGTTGAAGAAAAATCTTCCATTAATAAAACAATATATCAATTTCCACGTTCATATGAATTATTAAATAATTTTCAATCAAGTTTTAATTTAACAAATAATAATAAAAATTTAGTTTTAACAAAAATAATTGATCGTGATTATTGGTGTTTACAAAATATTTGCTCGTGTGATTATTGTTCATTTATTCTTGAATTATTTTCTAATGATGATAAAACTTCACCAATATTTTCAACTATTAATATAACAATAACTGATAGAAATGATCATGCTTGTCAATTTTTGGATATTCAAAAAAATATTTTCTTATCTGAATCTATTCAAATTGGTCATCGTTTTCCAATAGCTCGTGCTATTGATTATGATTCAGGTATTAATAGTCAACTATCATTTAAACTTCTTAATAATAATGATTATTTTGATTTAAATATCATAAAATTAACAACAAATGAATATGCGATATATGGTATTGTTAAACGTTCATTTGATAGAGAATTAAATGAAAAATATGATTTAATTATTGAAGCACATGATCATGGAATTTCAGAAGTTAAATTTAATCGTACAAAAATAACACTTTGGATTTTAGATGAAAATGATAATGCACCAAAATTTAATCAAACTGAATATTCAATTCAAGTAAGTTTCGATCATTAACCGTCATTCTATTTAAGTATATTGTAAACATTTAGTCTCTTCCCGAAAATACTTCAATTGGTACTAAACTATTAACAATATCGGCTACAGATGCTGATAAAGGTTTAAATGGTCTTATACATTATTCAATTATGATTTCATCAGATATATCATCATTTCCATTTGTAATAAACTCAACAACTGGAGTTATTAGTCTTCGTTCATTATTAGATTATGAAACAGTTCGTTCATATCGTTTTTTAATACGTGCATCAGATTCTGGTTTACCACAATCTTTATATACGGATACTTGGCTTTCAATATCAATTAAAGATGTAAATGATTGTCCTGTTGAAATATTCTTTCTACCGAATCGACAATTTCAATATAATAATCAAGCATTATATATCTATGAAAATACAGAAATAAATAATTTAACATTAGGTTATATTCGTTTAAATGATCGTGATTCTGAACAAACAAAACTTTCAGTTTCATTAGTCGTGCTAGAAAAAAATTCTAAACAAGACTATGAACTTATTTTATCTAATCAAATTAATTCATATACATTGATTGTTAAACAAGGAATATTTGATAGAGAAATTCAATCAGAAATAAATCTTCGTTTTATAGCTACTGACACTTTTTTAACATCAATTTATGATTTAAAAATTTATTTAATTGATTTAAATGATAATCCAAGTGAATTTTCATCGAATGTATTACAATTCTATGTTGAAGAATTAGAAAATTATCATATGACTGAACATCCGTTTGAAAATTATCAATTAACAATTGGTTATTTAAATGCCATTGATCCAGATGAAGGTGAAAATGCATTAAATAAATATGAATTAGAATTAAATTCATTAGTTGATATTGATTCCGATACTGGACGATTATATTTAATAAAACCGTTAGATCGAGAACAAATATCACAAATTGAATTGAAAGCAAAAGCAATTAATATTGTTGAGCCAAAATGGGAAACTGAAGTTAGAATTCAAATTCATGTGTAAGTTTTTTCAAACGATAGAATTTAGAGAGAATCTTTAGAATGCCTTCTAGAAGGGTTTGTTTTAAAGTCTTATAAATATCAAAAAAACATAGTTACTCATGTAATTCGAATTTGCATGAAGAACAGTGGCGTACGCAGAAATTTTTCAAGGGGGGGCCCAACTTCGTAAGGGGGGCCCGCCATGGCACAACAAATTTTTTATCACGCGAAAATATTTTTTCCTGTACCCCCCTTCAGGACTTTTTCGTCTCAAGGGGGGGGCCCGGGCCCCCTCGGCCCCCCCCCTGCGTACGCCACTGAACCAAATACTAATATTTTTCAT